CCCCCCCCCGCGCGGCGGGTGGGGGGGGGGGGGGGGGGGGGGAGTTCACTGGGTGCCAAGATGCCCCTGGCTCTAGGGTGGGATGTGCGCAGGGGGCTAGGGAAAACTGAGGGGCGTTCATGCCCCCCAGGGCAGTTTGTGAGCCCCGAAGTCGTGCACAGGCCCAAGCGCGGGGGAACTGAAGTCCCGGGCCCTGGAGAGACCCCAGCCCCCGCAAAAAAGCACCAGCGCGGAGCTTTTGCTGAGTAACTTTATTTTTGTTGAGGGCACAAAGAGCCCGCAACCGCCTTCTCTCTTGCCATGAACCAGGAGGAGTGCGGGCCCGGGGTTTTCCTGCGGGAGACACGTGGGGCGGAGGGAACGGGCCCCCCTAGCAAAAACCCCGGCGTCCAGCGCATCGTGCCGCGCCCCGGCCCGCACCAACTGCGCTGCTGCTGGGGCCGAGAAGCAAAGAGAAATAGCATTAACTCGCCTCCCCCTGAAAATCCGCACATAATACGCTCCTATGCGCCTGCGCAACAGGTCCTCCCGGCGCCTGGGATCACCTACCCGCCGCGCGCATGCGCCCACATGCAAGAGGAATTCCCAGCTTGGGCGCATGCGTGGGGAGGCGGCGCACGCATGCGTGAGCCACTGCGCCTGCGCAGCTCGGGCTCCTGCGGCCGGACGGGACCGGGTCCCCCCGACAGGCCCGGAGCAGCCGGTGAGTGCGGGGCCGCGCGGTGCATTGTGGGCCGAGCCGGGCCGCCCGCCCTCGCCGCGGTCCCTACGGCCCCGGCCGCGGTGCATTGTGGGGCGGGGCCCTATAGCCCCAGTGCATTCTGGGAGGGAACCCTCCGCCCCTCCCCCCGGTCTCTATAGCCCCTGGGCGCAGGGCATGCTGGGAGTAGAGCATAGAACCTCCGTCCCGGTGCATTGTGGGGCTATGGCCCCGCCCCCTGGGCCATATACCCCCAGGGCACTGTGGGATTGCCCTCTGCCAGTCCATACACCCCCCGTGCCCCAGGGCATTGTGGGATAGCATCACCCTTTACTAGTCCATACCCCCAGCCCCAGGGCACTGGGGGTAGCATTGTCTTTCATCAGTCCCTACACCCCTCTGCCCCAGGGTATTGTGGGATAGTGTCACCCCCTACTGCACCCCCTGACCCAGGGCATCGAGATATTACTCCCCCAAGCAGTCAATAAACCCCCAGCCCAGGGCACCTTCTACTGGCCCAGACACCCCCCTCACCCCAGGGCATTGTGGGACTGTACCTCCTTTCCCATGCCTTGCAGCCCTAGGGCATTGTGGGATACTCACAGCACTCTGCCCTCTCAGGCGGTGAGGCACCAGGGATGATGTCGGAGGCCCACAGGCACGGGGATATGGCAGGCAGCGAGGACGCCAGCTTCGAGGAAGAGGACGGGACTTCAACGGGTGAGGGCTGGGGGCACCCAGACCCCCCCAGCCCAGAGCTAGGAGTAGGGGTGGGAAACCACAGAGCTAGCCCAGCACTAGGCCCTAGCCCTTCCCCCACATCCAGCTATGTTTCAGCAGCCTGGACTTATAGCTGCAGTCCCTTCCCATCATGCCCCTTGTCTCCTCCCCCATTCCACCTTCCCTTCTTTTGATTGGATCCTGCACAGGAGGGACGGAGCTTCAGGCTGGGGCTTCGTTATAAATGGGGGGGACAGAAAGGGCTGCCTGGGTCTTTAAGGAAAGGCTGTAGCATCCTGGGAGCTGGCAGGTGAGTGAGCTGTCCTGGGGGCTGAAGGTTGCAAGTAAGGTGTACTAGCAGGGCTAGGGGAGCAGGGGCTGTGGGTCAGGAGTGAGGGGTATTGTCTGGGGAGCCTGGACACCTGGGTTCACTGTCCTGTCATGCCTCTTCCAGGCATCTCCACGATGCAGGAGGATGATGAGTCTGAAGCCACGTCTGTGTCTTCAGGAGAAAGCAGCCCCCCAACACCCTCGGCTAACGGGTACCCAGGTATGGGGCCCATGGGCTCGGATGCCTGGGTTCCCTCCCTGCTTCAGGGGGGGTCGGGATGCACCTGGGTCCCTTCGAGGGGTGTAAGCCCAAGGGGGGCAGCTTGGACGCCTGGGTTCCCAGCGTGTGCCCCCTTCCGCAGGTCCGCGGAGCAAGGTGGCAGGCGAGGCGCCCACAGATGTGGGCGCAGATGCAGGCGAGGAGCGGCTGGGCGCCCCCAGCCCCGAATGGCACGAGTGCCCTGAGTGCGGCCGTGGCTTCGGCACCTCACGGGCCCTGAAGGTGCATCGCAGCTACCACGTGGGGCGCAAGCGGCCGCACGGCACCGCCCCCTCACCGAAGCCCCCTGGTGTGGCACGGCCGGCACCCCCTCTTCCCTCGCTCAGCGATGCAGACACCCGCCCAGCCCCGCGCCCTGGCGCCTTCCACTACATCTGCGCCGAGTGTGGCCTGGGCTTCGCCTCCCCGGCGTCGCTTGAGGCCCACCGCTGCGAGCACGGCTGGCGCCGCAGCCCTCCTGCCCCACCCCTGCCCCCTTCCCT